GCATAGGAACCTACTTTGCCTAATACTCAAGCATATTCCTCCATAGGCACGTAGAAATTATATCATCAATACCTTTCACATCCTGGCTTTATTAAATGTTAATCATTCCTAAGCCTGTGGTCTGTTTAACAATCTCTCTTAATTAAAACTTTATTTTGGGGGTTTATTAGAGCTAATTGATTGACCTAAGCCATTTCCATTTACTGTGATGAATTTCATTGCAGTTTGGATAGCTGATTTCCAAAGCTGTAAAAGCAGTATGCAGTTCAGTTAACCAGCATAAAATAGTATTGAGACTTTATATAATTAAAATAAGCCCATAACACTTCTGCCAGGTCACTAAAACAAGCTTCATCAACTATTTACATCCATTTTCCACTCACCCAAGTAAATCTTACCTGCCACCAAAGCCTCCACTTCCAGGATAATTAGGTCGCCCATACATGCCTTGCTGTATGTATGGCTGAGTGGAGCCTGCCTTGGCTGAAAATTGTTGCTGCTGTCCAGCAAACTGAGGGGAATTGATTCCAGGATTGCTGGTAGTCATCCCAGAAGCCATGGGATTTCCTGCTGGGTTCATAGGGTTATTAGCATTTGCCATTGGATTTCCCAGCACCTGTGAGTAAAAACATAAGAATAAGGGGCTGCACCTTCAACTACATCAAGCAAATTAAGCTGATTTGCTGCAATCAATAAATTACAATATAACCACCCTGTACTCTGAACTTGTTGACATTTAGGTACACACTCCTGGTGATTTCTCCTTTTCTTTTGCCATTTCCAAACAAACAAGAGTTTCTGATCTCTAACTATCCTTCACAGGAGATTTTTAACTAGATGGAACCCAAACTAACACGCTTATGAAAAAAGTCACGATAAAGACCTGCTAGAACCATGCTCTGTAGGTGACAAATTCATCCGATGAAGAGAAAGTACGTGCTTTTTCTTTTTTTTGTTGTAGGACTTCAAAATAACTTGCAGATATTCAGTCTCATTGGCATACTGTAAAGGGTGCTCATTGGCATACTACAGATGCAAAAACTGTGAAAGACTATATTGCAGTGGCTTAACCTGTTCTTGAATCTAAAGCATACTCTCTCTAAAGTGTACAGAAGTCTCTTGGTTGTTTTTATTGCTTCTTAGAAGAGTCCTCCATTCTGTTTTTAAAAGGACTTGGTTTGCTTGTTTGAAGCATTTTTTTTTTTCAATTGAACCAAAATTGTTATGATTTCCGTTGAGATCTAAGTATGGCTGTTCATGGATCACCTGCATGGAAATCTGTCTCCTACTTGGGAAGAAATTTAATGGTCATGATTTTTACAGAAGACCAAGTCATCAGCTTTGGGAATTTGTGAAAGGGAATCGGTGAGCCCAGCTCATTTCTTTCCCCCGGGGAACATGAAGACTTACGGTAAACCCTGTCATTCATTTCCATCTGCTCTGAAGAGCTACAACCAAGCTTCATGTTTCAGAGTTTCACCCTTCCCTTGCAGTGATTCTGAAGAAGCATTTTTTTCTTTCTGACAAAGCACTTTCTTCCTTTTATTGCACATTTCTCTGAAGTATCATGAAGAGTTCAAGTTACGTTACGTTACGTTCTTATGATAGAACGAAACTCTGAGTCTTTTTATTTTCTTTCCTTTTGCCTTTTTAAGTGTGAAAGATTTTCACAAGAATTTTCTGGCCAATGTATAGAGCTACCTGTTTACTCAGGTGTTTCTCTCCCAGATGGGATACCTTTTCTTTTAAGGTGTTAAAAAGAAATCAATGATAATAAATGATGTTATAGATCCTGTAACTGTTTCCTGTTTTTATTTTCTGACGAAAGATTTTGCCACAACCAGTGCTTACATAGCTGCCATGTGAGTATCTATACGACTTGGCCGCTGAATGATTTCTTTTTCAAATGGCTCAATCCATAACAATTTTGTTTTCAATCTTCTAACCAAAATTAAAATAATGAAAAAAAAAAATCCACAGAAAATTTTGTATGGGTCTAACGTCTCTTGATTTGAGAAAGGTAGAAAAGACATGTTAGATTTATGTACCACTTGCACTCATTAAAGATGGTGATGTGTTTAGAGCACTTCATCCACGGTAAAAGAAAAAGCTAGACTGTCTGAGAGCTTAATCTGTGCCACATCCCTTGGAGAGCACACTATCAAAAATAATTGGCATCTCCTTCATTAAAGCTGCTTCTTTTTGTATGGCATAATTCAATATTCAATATAGAAGAAAAAGAGAGGTAAGAGCAGAGAGAACCGAATGAAAATCCAGTAAGCATGGCTTTCCCCTGGAAGTCAGGAGCTCATGCTTTTGCTCCAATGCATATTGAAATATTTTTGCGAACTAAGGCAGCATTAACAGGAGACGTTGAGAAAAGCACAGCCTATAGCTGGTAGTTAGCACCTCAGTGTGGGGGTAGACTTGGCATGGGATTTCACCAGCCCACAAGTATGACACAACCCCGGGTAAAAAAAAAAAACCAATAACTATCGTTTGGTGAATCTAGCTAGAAATCTTATTTTTAATGAAACAACTCTTCAAACTCAATCTGAAATTCCCAAGAGGTTTCAGATCACTCCAAAAATCATACTTTTAGTGTTGAAACCATACAGTGCAAAATACTTGCTAAACCCAACCCTGATATTTGCATGCAGCTTAAGGAGTTACTGACTCAAGCTCTCAGATGCCTCCTTTCTGATGACACCGAAGAGGACACGACTGGAAAAAAAAATGCAGCATGTACAACAAAGAGAACACAGACACTGTTACCAATCCCAAGAGGATTTTCCAAAAAGCTTTCCATTTTGCAAACATTAGTGAAAACCTGTATCGGCAGGGGAGGAAGTATAAAAATGAAGCTTACCTGGCTTTGAGAGGTGTTAGTCACACCCCATACTGTGGTGACCACTGATAAAGAGCCTGGAGGCTGGTTGGTATTTTGCTGCCAGGGAACAGAATCGTAAGGGAACGACCCATCACTGCAAAAATAAATGTTTAGGAGGGTGAGATCTTGGAAGTTTAAACAGTAGCAAGCTGCTGGCAGGGACACAGGGATTAACACCTGACATTACCTTAACTCCCCACTCCTCCTTCTGTTGTTAGCCTAGTATGCTCAGAGGCACAAAGTTTCTTTAATAGCAACGTGATCATATCAAAACCACACAGAACTAACGAACTCCTTAAGTATACTGAAGCACAGGGCTTTTACCTAAAGGTCTGTTACCAATGAAAGTAAAAATAAACTCAGGGGCAGAGTTTCAAACAAGGACACTAAGAAAGTTGCTCAGAAGCACTTATTTTTTGCAATCCATCTCAAGCTCTTCAACAATCATTGCTTCAGCTGCCTCATATCAATTCAATTAGATTTTGAGACCAGACTGCAGCTCCACTGTCTGCACTGGGTCCCCAAATGGCCAGAAAAGCCTTTAAAGGAATAGCAGTTCAACATCATTTTGAAAAGTAAATTGAAATTCAGATAGTGTTCTCCCACACGATGGATAAGCTGCATGCCAAAAACAGTATTAGCTAATCAGCATTCTAGAAAATCAACTGCAGATATACAAGACATCTTTCAGATAAAATATGTGGATGAGAGGATTGGGTTTTTCCATTACCTTTGCCCACAGAGATACAAGCAAACATTTCTTACAGTTCTTTTCATACAAAAGCATTGGTGGTTTCAAAATGAACACAGGATAGGTACACATCTGGTGTAATTAATGAAATATGTTAAATCCAGTGAAAGTAACTAATAATCCCATAACTGTAAAATATATCCCACTTGAAATTTGCTTGTTCTCATACTATTAACTTGTAAATGAGATTTCTGTTTGCATATATGTACACATACACACATGTGATCTTTCCTCATCTAGATATATATACCATTTAATACACACACGCATTGCTTTCTCATTTTCAAACGCCATTGACTTGTATTTTATATCAAGAACTGCATTTTTGCCTGGACTACCAGCTATCACTGGAATTCTATACAGGGCTTCCTTGCCTAAAGAATCCACACAGGCTCTTCGAGCGCTGTATCCACGTGCTTCAAAGTCTGCACCGTAAAGTGCCACACAATTAACTCATACAAGACATGGTGAGACAACCAACTTGCCAAAGTCCTAAAAAGGGCTCTGTGGCAGACCAGGGAGCTGACTTTCCATGTCCCCAGACAGCACTCAGGCTTGGGCCACTTCTCCTTTCTTTTGTGCTGTGAGCCAAAATCAGGGACTACGTATGTGTTCATTCTTTAGCCTGTTCATAACACCTAATCTAAATCATTTAATAGGAATTGCATTGCACAAAGAAGTGCACACACATGTGATAAAAACTGCCTATGTCCCAAATAACCCATAAACTAATAACAGTAACAGCAACTGTGTAAGGTAAAATGAAACAGTGAATACATTTTACAAACAGCGAGGAAATTTCAAACAAATTCCATAATGCTGTGCCAGCACAACAGCATTCTATTAGAACATAACTGTGAATTTGAACTGACCTATTTCTTTCAAAATACTCAAACTGAATTACGCAATGAAATCACAAAAAAATTAAAATTAATTAAATTAGGGAAAAGAATTATTTCCCCTACAAATAATTAGGGGAAATTAGTGGAAAACGGTAATTTTCTGTCAGATGCTTGACATGTAATGTTTACATTGACAGCATCCATATAAACCAATGTGTGAATAAGGGCATATTTCACACCTTGCAATCAGTAAGTCCTCCTAGACCATTTTTTTTTTCCAATATTTTCTCTCAGAAGGCTGAAAATCTTCCCCCTCTCATTCAGAGGCTCAGACAATGGCTTCAGTGACTAATATTTGCAAGTGATGCAATGCTTCAGCACGTCCCCTCCACCAGCATGGAGACAAATGATGACTAACCCAGAATTTGTGATTGCTATGAGGCCTTCCTCTTTTTTCCTGCTCTGAATGATGCCTCCTACTTTACTTCCTTCTCTGACTGTTTTTGATGATGCCTGCTCTGTGATTTCTTTGGATATTTATGGCACATATGAGTATTTGTATACTTCAACGACTACAAAGAAGCTCTCTCCATGACATAAGCAGTTAAAGGACTCACTGCAGCCATTCCTCTCTATTCCCCACTGATGTGCTGTGGACAGATAATAAAACCTGAGGGACAAGGCAAATATTTTGCAAGTGTATGAGTAAATAAGAAGGGTAATGACAGGCAGGGATCAAACCACAGAGTCACTGAAGGTTCCTCTAATGCAAATATGCCGTACGGTTTGTACGCATACTCAAACTTTGAGCTAGCGATGCCTTAGCCTGCTGTTAAGAAGTTATAACCATTTCTTCACTTTGCCTCCAAAGCAAAGTTCCCCTCCTTTACAGTTCACAGAAGGCATTTCATATATTGCTCACCGTACCTTCCAATGGTAGAGTCAGAGCATTTGTTTAGTGGAAGGCTGCACTGGGTTCTCAAAGACAATCAGTTCATCTAATTACAAGGAAGAGCAAATCACTCAGTTTTTACTGTATTACAGTTAAAATGGGTGACACTTCGAGAAACCACATAGTTGACATATGACGAAAGCCTCCAGCACAGGACCCAGCAGAACACATGAAAGCCAGAAAAAAAGACCAGGTACAGATTTGTTGAGAAATATTCATTGTGCACATTGAATCACACGACTATTACATTATCCAACACAGGACTTAGCTTTAAATTGCAGACAACATTAATATCAGAAATTATGGCGACGCTGAAATAGTGATGGATGTGCCTTGCAGAACATCAACTTATACACCCTAATATACACTTACTGCGCTAGACCTCACTTCACTCAAGCTTCACTTTAGTTACCCCAACAAGAAATACACGGCATTCTCGCGGTTTGCATTCCCCAGCATGATACTCTGGCCTATCACCAATTACATACATGTTTGAGTATGACTTTTGCCATAGTGGATACAATACCCACCCTTCCTCCACCGCATGAAGGCTTCTTTGGTTTCAAGCAGTAGGAGATGCTGAAACACATGCCACTCAACTAAAGGATTACTTGTCCCTCCCCTTCGCTCTTTCAACTTGCATTTCTGTCCTTAGACAGAGGAACCCCAAAGGAATACTCTCACCATCAAAGGAATATCCATATAACTACCGTAATGCAATGTGACCAATCCAATTCTCATTTGCAAAAGAGCATCGGCTTTCCACTGTTATTATAGAAACCTGTAAATTATTCCAAAATCCCCTTCTATAAACTTGAAAATGGCAGCCAATAGAGAAAGAAGCTTCAACCTCTCCAGCCACAGCAAAATGCCGCCCACGACATTGTTCCTGTTGAACGGTACAAGGGTAATTAAGTCTCTCACTACACCCTGGAGGGCAGTGAGTCAGTTTGGGCTCAGCTGGAGTCCACTAAAAGAGTATTGACTAAATTTATAATAGTGTTAATGAACCTATACATACTACTGGTCAGCATTAAAGGCCAAACAGCAGAGGAAGCCACAGAGCAAAGAGAAAGAGATGGAGGGAAATTACTTCTCAAACTATGATGTAGTGAAACTGCAATCAAGGAATAAGGAGGAAGGATTTCTTAGCTGCTGGCAAATGTACCGAAACCATTGGTAATACCACACTCATGTCGGAGAAGTGCATCGGCACTTAGGTCTAAACAGTTTCTCTTAATCTCAGTACTGGGAAAACAGAACCAGACAGATATCCCGTCTCTTTGAAATAGTTACAGACGTCATGTCAGACACAGACTGTTAGTTAATTCTAATAAAAGTTGCTTAATAACAAGTGAGCTCCATAAATTAATACTAGTGAATTACTGTAATTTATACATAATTTGTGGCATTACTTGAAAATGCTGTATTTTAAATATGTTTATGTTGTCATTAAAGCAATTGTATGCGTACCTGATACGCTGTTTACATGTCTTCATTGATTGAGGAAGGAGAGATTCAGATGGTTTAGTGAAGTATGCATCCCTAGAGCATTGGTACTTCACATGTTGTGGAGGAATTATATCTGGAATTGTATCTTCCCAGTGATTTTCCACATCACTTGTTGAGAAGGCCAGGTGTCTAAAACACTACCTATATAAAGCATCTATCTCCGTTTTAAACACTGAAAATCTATCAACTACTACAGAAAAGCACCAGATGTTGGCTTTCTCGAAAAACCTTTTCATTCCAAGCACTGCAATCAAGCTTCCCACAACTGGGCTTTCAGTGACTAGTTTCTGTTGGTTACCCTGAAGCCAGCTTTACAGTTTTGCAGGGGTCTTTAATGTTTCTGAAGCGCAGTCATCCCGCCTGACTGGTAGCTGACATACACAGAGTCCACATAGTCCTTTAAATCTACAGACTATCATAACTTCTTCAGCTGACACCAAGATGAGCAGGTAATTGCCAGTGTAACACTGACTGTCATTTCTGCCATGTCTTCTTTTGTCAGCCATGGACACCTAGAGAAGAGAGCATCTGACAACAAGGAGTGAGATGATAGAGATCTACCCAGGCCAAACACTCCTTTGCCGTTACACACAGCCAAAAATTAGAACGGTGCAAATACAGCCCAAAACCGTGGCTCCTGATCTGTTCTTGCCCGCTGGCACCTCTCTGTGTCTGTACCTTGCTCTGCCCCTACAAGTGCCTCTGGGCGCGTGTGTGCTCAGGGCGCCCAGCACCCCTTGGCTGTATTCTTGGTTGGAGCCTCTAGGTGACACTACTTTAATACAAACTAAAACATAACTACCTCCAAACAAGGCTCCTTGCTCCTGCCTCACCCCCCTCTTCCCCCTAAAACCTCATCTGTCTGCAGTGCAAAAATATCACAAATCCCGCAATCAGAACAGGAAACGAAGCCCTAGGTAACTGTAGCCCCAATGCATGTGTTTCATGCCCGTAGTGTCTCACAAGTTAGGCAGCTTAGCTCCTTTCATTCAGATTTAGTTTTTGTTTTCCTTGGGTTTCTCAAATGAACACCACTCACATAGCTTTAATTATTAATATGGATTCAGTTAGCAATTTTTCTTGATTAGGGCACCATCATAACTTATTTTAAGCATATTCTTACTTAAGAAAAAGACTGTTTTACACGGTGCAGTGCAAATACTGAATTTGAACCGCCTTTTTGGTGTTCTCATGTTACGGAACAGGCATGAATTTCACCACATTTTTATAATTTTCGTATCAGTATAAACAAAACTTAACAACTTCTTTAAAAATAAAATTGCAAGAACAGATGGAACACTATTAGCAGTTTCCTGCAACACTAAAATGCTCCAGGAAGGACTTCAGCTAATTTTTTCCCAATTCGATAAGCTAGGAATCCCTGACAATCTATTCATAAATAACAGATCAAATGGGGTTTTTATTTTATTTATTTCTGGTCAAATTTCCACTGGAAATATCCTTGGCCTTGACCACTAATTTGAACAAAAAACCAATGTGACACCTGAAAGCCAAAATTTGTTTCCTCTTACTGATAATCAAAAACATTTCAGAGATTTGCTTTTGTTTTCTTTTTAAAAACCCCAGACATTTAGAAGGAAACAACTGACTTCCCATTTTCCACTGAAATTTTTTTTCAGGGGAACAAAACCAGTGCCTCACTAGCTGAAGATACATGCACCATCTTCACATGGCTAAAGTGCTTGGCCAAAGTGTTTCAACTTAAACACTTAAAATTAGTTTTCAGTCTAGTTAACAGATATTAAAACACAATACTATCAAAAAAATTTTGGTAATACAAAATTTAACCAAGTTATCGCTTGATCTTTTGTGCTGTTTTCCGTAATCTGTAGAAACCACTCTACACAATCCGTTCTCTGTTCACACGGAGGAATATGGCAGAGCAAGGAGACACCCGGGTAGGAAGGACACAAAAAGCACTTACAGTCAGCAAGCAAATATAAAGACATATTGTAAAAAAACCCAAAGAACAACTACCTCTGTACACGACACACTGACATAAAGCAAACTAAAAGCTGGTGTTGTGTACAGGTATCCTAAGGTGTTTACACTGAAGATGAGGAAATAAAAGAGGGTGGTGTAGTAAGTGCGTATACCAATACTGACTTTGGATGGCTAGCAGTAATTTACTTTTGATTGATGCTGCCTACGTGATGCGTGCCTTCTACAAATACATTCCTCTATTTAGTATCATTATTTGAAGAAGTTCAAATGTTATTGGCATAAATTAAGGCTCCATCATGTATTTCACTAAACAAATACATAAGACAGAGTCCCATCCAAATCACTGGGTGTATTTATGTAATGCAAAAGTGAAAAAAGTTAATCTGGAAGCATTTTGCAAGGCTTTATTTCTCTCTACTTCTTAATGGTGTGACTCCAAACATTCAGATCTTACAGAGCAAATATACAGCTCCAAAAATTACCCCCCCCCCCCCATTTCTCATGTCTGTTGTTTCCCTCTACTCTTTCCAACTAGATGAATATGTTCTCTGACCCTTTGGAAAGCTTTGATGCTCCCTACTCCAAATGCACAGAGGATCCATACCTAGTCCTTCCCTATCAAGAAAGAATTACCTCAAGCGTTGTTTCAGTACTGGATGTTGCCTGTACCGGGCTATGAGCAATGTAAACTGAAGAGGAAGAGTGAAAGCGGTCAGAAATTTCATAATTCACTGTAAAAAGAAGGCAGGCTGTTTTCTGGCAAACAGTTTGAAAACACAGAAGCATTCTGAACCCGTTCTAGGTGAGCAGATGCAGGTGAAGCAGTCAAAAGGTGAAAGCAGCAAGCCATTTATCAGCTCGGTGGTTTGGATGGCACCTGCAGCTAGCAGGTGGCTATCACCCCCCACCTCTGCTCTTTTAAATATCAACACACATTTACAAAAACCATTCATGCAGCCACACACATATGCACACTACAGCCGCTTGCATGGAGACTGAGACGGCAAAATTGAGCCGGTGGTTCAGAACTCTGGAAGCTGAAAGCCCTTAACTTTTTCTTTATAGTCCTGACAAGGCCTGTGAGGCCTGGATGACTTATGACCACACACGGTGGGAACGCTGCCTTCCATTTCACATTGGGTTGCTACAGGTCAGGCTGTGACATGCTTGCTGCTGCTTCCTGGCGCCTTACTCTACACACAGTCTCATCAGTTAGAGAGCCATGCCTGCAAAGTACCATGCTGCCCAACGAGAGTTAGTGCATCTGAATCTAACCCCTGAAATTAGAAAAATGCATCAGGCCAAATAATTAGATATTAATTCAGAAGTTTCTGAACCTGCAAACACCCACATGCCCCTGCATACACACACAGTCCTGCTACGTTACAGATTTCATATATGTCCATGCACATGTGTGTGCGCGTGCACGCGCGCAAAGACACAGAGATAACACAACTTATTTCTGTCCATGTGGAACAAACGATCACAGCTATGCAGGTAAGAAACAAAAACGCTACCGAGACCCGCTCCTGCCTCAGAAGAAGCTGAAGGGGTTACAATCGTCTGACATTATGGGACTACAGCATCCATCCGATCAAAGGAAAAAAGATTAAAGCATCACACCCAGTTCTATTGTCACACAAGTAGACCATGCAACGCATTACTACAGCCCAGATTACAGTTACAAAATACACCGGTAACAGCCCTGTTATTAACATGCCACCTGTTACCTTTTTCAAAATGCTGAAATTATCTTATGATCGTTTTCAGCTTGACAAATGCAGTTTAATCTTTATTGCATCTCACAGCACAGACCTGCTTCATCCATGTCTTATTTATCTCACGTGTGTCGGAATGCAACCCCGAGCCCTCAGTCCCCCCCTGCCACCAGGCATTCCTTCTGCTCTGCTTTATCAATATACCTGGGTTTCCATATCCGACTGCTCCTTTACAATAA